CAAGTCAGTGGTGCTAAGCACCACACAGGAATAGCCTGCTCAAATTTTAGGATTTGATACTGAGATGTACCAAGTATTTTCATGTTCCTTGCAGCCACCAGGATTTGCAAAGGCTTTAGAATAGATCCCCAGTGGAAATATTGCACAGTCATCCCCCAGCTAAGTGCCTGCTATTGTGTGCATCACATCCCGCCTCTGCTGCACAGCCACCATGTGGGAATGTGGTATTGCTGCCAAATACCTCCTCCTTTGTTTATATAAGCCCTGGAAGTCAGAGGTGGCCCCTTCGATCCCTCCGTGATGTTTACAGGGGCGTGTCTTCAGGGCAATGGGGTCAGGCAAGTTCCCTCCCTAATTAATTGCTGTCTCTCTGAGTTATGTGGGAAAAGAGCTGACCTGCCAGCACACTAAAACACAAGGGAAATGTCCTCCCATCTAGAAGAGGCCCTGCTTGCTCTCTACTGCTGGACAAGGTTTTCCAGGAGCCTGTCTGCCTGGATGGACTGCTTTCCCCAGCAAGGACCATACACAGGTCGGAGAATGCAGAGGAGAACTGGAGGTGGGATGGAGGCTGCTCTAGGAGATCCTGCCTGGCAGCAGGTGAGGAAGAGGAAAATGGAGGTTACTCTGTCCTCTTTCCTGAAGACAGTTCCTGGGGTGTCATCATCTGTGCCAGATTTTTGCTAGGGGCTGTGCCAAGAACTTGCTGGCTTGGTGGACGCACCAGCTGATGGGTCTAAGTGCTTGGCTAGATGCAGGCTTAGCAGGTGACATCCTGGGTTTCACACTCTGTTCTGCCAGTCATTCTCCATGACACCCAAAGCTGAGGCACAGAAAGAAACAGATGAGCAGCCACATGGATATTTATGCTGGACTACTGGTGAATGAGGACATTTAGGAACACCTGACATGACATTCTGGGTCAGCCTACAGCAATGTGCATCAGGTATGAACTTCTCTGAGTCCAGAAGGGCTTGGTTCTGGGTTTCTGATTAGGCTTATGCTGGTCAGACCTACTAACATTATCTATGAACTACAGATGGTAAAACAACCACGCTGCAGCACAATGTAAATTTGTCACAGGAGCCTGAATTCCCCATCATCTCTGCTGGTACAAGTGATGGACATGCTGTGTGTGCAGTCCAACGCCATGTCGATCACTACGTAACCCAGAGCACCAAAAGAGAGTAAAACAAACCAAGAATCGCTGTTCAAGTGTGGAGCTGACCTTCATACTCAGCCTGGATTGCTGCACCCAGCAAAGGCACTCACACACACTGCTTGCCCAGAGGAGACAGGGATGTGATGGTCTGCGTGGCCCCAGATGTGACACTGCACTGCCACACACAGGGGAAGCCCCCAGGCTTTCTGTGACTGGGAACTGCAAACAGCCCCTCTCACCCTTGCAAGCTGCTGGGTTATTGCCAGCTCTGATGGAATGGAGCTGCACCCCGTGTGTTTTCCCACATCCCTCCCCAGGCTAGTGTGATCATAACATTTCTCTGTAAAATACCATGTAAGACTGGAAAATTGTTTAGCTTTTTTTTAACTTAAAGGCAAGCTGGATTTGTAATGACAACCTGGGCGCATCTTTCACTCCCAACAAGGCAGTTTCCTTTACAATCTGATTCAAAGTGCAGTAAAACATAAGCTAAGTCACTGTAGGGTTTGCAGCCCCAAAGCACCTCTCTGTTTTCCTTGTCTTCCCAACAAATCAATTAGGGAGGATTTCTTTACTAGTGGGAACTAAGAAATTCCATGAAGATTAATAGGAGCTGCTAAAGAGCTCAAATAGAAGTGGTTTCCCTATCAGGACTCCAGGGAAGAATTTGGCTTTACTACTGACAGACCATAGACATCATCCAGGATGGAAAATACTGCCAGGAGCTGCGAGTTATCCTTGTTTTCCCCTCAGTCTGTTTCAGTACTTCTGTCTTCATGGAATACAGAACTTAAGAGGATTTTTCTGTACTGAATAACTTTTCAAATTTACAATACAATGTCTTATTGATAGATCTGATAGATACCACACAGTGCATGTCAGTCTGTGCCACTGCTGTCGCTGGTTCCCATTCACTGATCTCTGCTGGGAATATCCTGACTTGAAACTTGATTCCTGAGTTGCCAATATAAAACACTCTTTGCAGCAGTAAATTATTCCTCTCTCCTTTTCATTAAAGACCCGAAAATCAAAACTAGTCTAAATAGCAATTGGATATACTTTCCTCTGATGCATTGTTACCTCAAACCACTGTTCCTGGCAGCCTGCAATTAGTACGGAAAAGCATTCACTGCTTTAAAGAATTCTGTCTTTCAGCAGTTAGTAAATACAGTGTGTATCTCTTTTGAGGGTCTGTGGGGGCAAGGCCAGGACATTCCTTAGAATACTTGGAGTTTTATCTCCTACTGATCTCTTCAGTCAGAGGTTATCTCTGCAGACAGTGCAGATAATGAAGCCTCAGTGATGAGCCTGGTCATCCTAATCTGCATCTGCAGCCAACTACACGGGAAAGAGGGTTCTCCAGAGGCAAATCCAGAATTTAATGGGCTGAAGTGCCCTTGAATGTGCTTATGTCTACAACAAACACATAAACTCCCTCTCTGGGAACAAGTAGAAAGACCCTCATAGGATCATGGTTTACATTATCTACCTATAGGCAACCTATCAAACAAGTCCTAACAGACTGCCCTCTACACTTGCCCACCAATATGCATTCCAACAAATCTAAACATATAAAGCCAGCATCTCATCCTTCTGGATGGGTTCCACAGTCCTGATGATTATTGTTTGACCTCCTGCCTCCAGGTTCACACCACCTGGGAAATGAGGAATGTGTCAGAAGGAAGTGTCATAATGGGTTCAGATCTCCAGCTTTATGTGCAGGGTACTCGCAGAGTTGTGCCTGGGGTGCAGCACAGTGAGGGACCAAGGAGTCAGGCCTGGTGGGATATGCAGGAACTGGTTCCAATAACATGCAAATGGGTGGATTTATTCTACTTTTCACATGTGCAAGAGGTTTTCTGTAAAGAAGAATATTTTTATTATTATTCAGCTGCCTTGAGCAATACGAAGATTTGCATTTCATTGGCAAGACCTAAAAATCTAGGCAAAAAAACTTGTGGTTTGTGGAAATGACTGAATGAATGCTCCACTTTCCCCTTACAGAGAAAATCAGGTTGTGGTGCTTCACACTGGTACCACTGGACTGTCTGTGTCTGGTCCCAGAGCCTTAATTCTTATAGGCAGAAGTGGAGATGTGTGTTGTGGCTCTTTGTCCCCTCTAGTGGATAAATTTCTATCTACAGAGCTGTTTCTCCATGAGCTGGATCTGCAGGAGACAGTGCTTGCAGGAATATGAGAGCTCCTGGGGACAGGCTGGTGTGGGCAGGAACCCCATCCAGGACTTCTGGTCAGGTGAACAGGGACACCTTTGCTACTTTGGTCTCCTATGAAGCACTCAGCCCCAAGGCCCTGACTCAAGCATGACTCAGTTTTTATTCAGAAAAAGCTCCCAGTAAGGCTGATTGCTATTGCCTTGGCCCTCTTTCTCCACCAGTCAATCCCCAGTGGCTCTGCTGACACTGGCAAAGGGTTCCCTGTGAGCAGCTTGGAAATGCCAGCCACCTCGTGCTTGAAAAAACAGGTAGTCAGGCTGTGAGATAGCAGCGGGGCATTAACAGTCATAAAAATAAAACCTGCAAGAGCAAAGACCCTAACTCTGCACCTATTGCTCATAAAGAACCTATATAAGTCAGTCATGCTTAAGATATTTCCATCTTTTCCTGTCTCTTCCACTCTATTTGGCAAGACACATATGGAACTAATTATGAACAAAGGCCAATTGTTATAATATGTAGAGTTTCCCACATCAAGCTGCAGGTTTTTTTATTTTGACTGGTTTTAATGCATGTGCATATGCTGAGCAGATACAGAGTTTCTCCTTTTTATTTGAAATGGTTGCTTTAATGTCATGTCCCTAACACCTCCATCCTGTCTTTTGGACTTGGATCAAAACAAAGTATTTTTAGTTTTGCATTAAAATGAGAACAATACATGGAGGAAGGGATTGGTTCCCCAGCTCAGCAGATTTTGCTCTCCCAGCTACACTGCTTCAAGGAAAAGAACATGGGCCAATATATTTTCCATTTTACTAAGCAAATTCAGAGTACCACTATGGAATTGCTGGATTGAAGAGCTCCCACTTTGCACACATTAACTCTAAACTGCATCTGGACCAAAATCTGTAGCGGAACATGGAAATGAACACAACATCCAAAACACATTCCTATAAAAGCACAGGATTATACCTGGCTGCTTTGGGATGACTCCAGGTGTTGTAGAAAGACTGTGGGAAGGGAAAGCATTTTTCTCCTTTCCAAAACACATGTTTACAATTTAAAGTGTAAATACAGTTTCAAACTTTACTTCCAGAGAAAGAAAATATCATTATTTACTAGTGACTTTATAAAAGAAAAAAAAAACAAGTACACATTGAGGGTGACTGTGAAGTGACACTTCACAATAATAGACTGTAATATAATCATTTATAAATGAATAAATAAGTGCACATAGAAGCCGTAGGCACGACCCGTCAGGCTTTCACTGCTATGGATGTGTACAGATGTGAGTGTGAGCGGTGATGTCTGTTCTCTGTACTCAGACACGCACATCACTGTGTCACACAGACCGTGCAGCCTGTGTCCGTGAGCACTCAGTTCAGCTGAGCAGCCCAGACGATCTGTCTGAGCCCTGTGCTCTGCGTATGTGCCTCCCAACCCTCTAGGAGAGAGGAATATCTGAACCCAGGAATTAACATTAATCTCTGCACCAGATGGTGATACACCAGATATTCTTTTTAAGGTGAACATGTGATCCACTGTACAGCAAACCAGAGGGGTCTGCAGTCACATGGCAAAACGTATAATAACTCAGATAGAGCTTTGATTAGACAACTGACCTGGTTACCATCTGTGGCAACAAGAAGCGAGCTTGACATTTTTAGAACATTCTCCCCAGAAGCTTAATTCTTCCACCTCTATGGCACAGCAATCCTGCTGAGCAAACTACACCGAGAAAACAGAAGGAAGCTAAAGATACACTGCTTGAAGCATGTTGTTAAGGTTACGAGGCTTGGGGTTTCCTCTTTTTTATTTTTTTTTTCCCCGTTTCCCGCCTCCTTCTTTCAAACAAGCCACATCTTGACTCATATGGTCTGATGTGAAAACCCACTCAGCTATTTGATAGTTGGGAAATCTAGATGAGACTGTAAGTTATTTCAAAGGAAGCCTGTGTGTGCTGTGAACTCTCTCCCTCTCTCTCACACACACACACAAGCACACACGCGGGGCAGCTCCGCACTATGGTAGTGCAGACAGCTGTGACTCCGGGTAGGACCCGAAGACTTTTATTCAAAATACCGTATGGATCACTGAGGAGGCGCAGTGTGGAAAGGGTAAGCCATGATTTCTTTGTGCTGAATGCATGCCCAGAGGATGAGGAGGGTACTGTTTGGCAGCAGCTGTCTGCCCTGTTAGCTAACAGGGATTATGTCACGGTGTGTATAAATTACTATTGGTGTGTGCCATGGTGTGTGGGAATTACTATTGGTGGGACCTGTGTGGTGATGAATGGGAATTAATACTTGTCAAAGTCTGTGTGATAACTTAGGGTAGAAATTGGTGCCAGCAGGAACAGTAAGATAACGTACAGCAAATGTAACTAGTTATAGACTCTGTGGTAATACTTAGGGGTAATAATTTCTGAAAAACATAATTTCTAATAATGAATACTCACTGAGATAGCATGATGGCATACAGCAGCACCAACCTGTAGCAGTGGGGAGTAAATAATAAAAGTAAAAGTCAAATAATGAACACCAGCAGGAAGCTCAGGGTGGTGTCGAAGGGTTTGTGTGAGTGAGCACAGATGCAGATGCCCACGAGTGTCTGTCCCAGCTGAGATGTTCAGGGAGCAGTGGTGGCACCATGGGCTCTGCAGTGCACAGTGTGTCTCTCTGATCAGTGCCAGCTGAAGTGACATCACTGGCTGTCCCTGGCTAGCCAAGGCAACTTTCTTGCAGCAGCAAGACATAGCAGGGGGTCCCAGGGAAACTATAATTTTGTCATTAATTACCCGAAAGCACATCACCTCAGCAGCAGTGCCCAGGGAACCAGGGAGTCCCATTGCTTTGAAGGATTGATGAGCTGGCCAAGAGGAGGTGTCTGGGACAGGGATCTCATCTCAGAGAGTGACAGACACCTGCAGAGCACACACTGAGCGCACATCTGGCACACATCAGGCACTTCAGGCTGCCTTTGCCTGGTGCCCTGCCTCTGACAGAGCTGGCTTGGGCAGCACAGCCCCCCAGGGGACAGGGACACCTTGCACATCCCCTCTGCTTGTCACTGCTTAAATGTCTTGAAACAGTGCTCAGCTTAAGGGAATGGGCACACTCTGCTCACTCCTGCTTGTAGAGAGTTTGGGCTGAGTGCCCCAGGGGTGGGCAGGGGGTGCTGCATTCACTGGTACATGGCTGGTGGCATGTGTAAGAAGCTCTACAAGCCCAGAGTGGCTCAGAGTTGCTCCCTTCACCCAGGACAGAGGGAAAGTTTTGCTAGAGGTGATTGTTTTGCTGAAAAGCAGTTTGGCGGCTGCTGAAGCCACCTGTGAGTTTGCCTCAAGTCTGTTGCATGTGACACTCAAAAAAAAAAAAAATCTGCATTTGGACATTTCAAACCAATTTTTTTCCCATTTTTGTTTCAAAGACAGTGCAATTTCATTTGGATGAATTCCTTAATTTTTTTAAGGAATGTGAGAAAAATCTCAAAAGTAAAAGCAGGTCAAAAACTGTTTTGGTTAAACATAAAGCCTTTTTGTTGCTTGTTTTTCTTTCATCTCCATTTGGCAGAAGGGAAAGCAGAATAACTTTGTGTCAACCTGAAAAATATTTTCTTTGCCTTTCCAGTCCGTCAAGCAAACCAAAGATAATCAATTATTCACACAGCTTTGGTTTGCTATTGTTTGATTGTCATTTGTTGCTTTGGAGAGCATTCAGAAATGTCCCTTCTGGTAAATTTGGGCTTTGTGGTTCAAGATGCTGTTTCTGAGAGGGACTCAGGGCAGGCAGCCCTGATGCCTTAACCTGCCTTGGGGTCAGGTTTTATCTGTGTCCCCTGTGCCGTGCCCAGCACTCCTGTGGCATTGGCCAGGGTTCTGCTTTAAGAGTAGCACTGCTGCCACTGGAGGTGGGTTGGTGTCTGGTGGTTTTCAGCTGCTCTTGCAAGTGTGAGGAGGCAGACGGTGTGGTGTCTCCTTCAAAGGGGGCTTCCCACCAGATGGCAGATGATTTTTCATCCAGACAAAGCTCTCAGCTCCTGCGGAGCCACCATCCTCTGCTGCTGCTGGCCACAGGGGGTCCCTCCCTGCCTGGAATGGCTCATGCTTTTATGCAGACCATACCTGAGACTGATTATCCCGGAGACTCACCATAGAATCACAGAATCATAGGATGATTTGTGTTAGAAGGAACCTTAAAGATCATCTCATTCCAACTCCCCTGCTATGGGCAGGATGCCACACAGTAGATCAGGTTTCTCAGGACCCCATGCAACCTGACCTTGAACACTTCCACAGCTTCTCTGGGCAGCCTGTTCCAGTGTCTCACTCCCCTCACAGTAAAGAATTTCTTCCTAACATTTAATCTAAATCTCTTCTCTTTTAGTTTAAAACCATTCTCTCTTGTTCTATCACTATTTGATAGTGACATAACTGCAGGAAATGGGAGACCACTCTCCTCCATGCATGCACATATCCCCTCTGGAAACATGCTATCCATACTGACCTGTCTGAACAACAGCTGCCAGAGTCTTAGCTTTGCTCTGTGCACTGGTCCATGTGATGGAGAGGTGTGAAAACCAGCAGTATTCTCTCACAGGGTGTTTCCAGGACATAATCCCATGGTGGGGAGCAAGGGAAATCATGGAAATACCTTCAGAAGAAGGTGTTGGAGAATGTCAGTGTTTGGATAGGAGGCAAGAGCGGATGCATAAGGATGACCAGCACTGCAGGGAACTTGGCAGTGTGTACACACTTCACAGCTCCCCTACACACAGCCCAAGTGATCAGCTGCTGTTAGGGGCATTTGTGTTGTTTTATTTTCACTCACATCCACAGTTTATTTCTCTTCTTCCCACTTCTTGACCTAAGGCTGGGGTGGTTTAGGCTTCTTCTCAGGCATATGCTGGAGCCTTGCTCTAAGGGTCTTGCCAGAGGATTTGATGGGATGGTTTTTGCAACCACTTTTTTATCCTGGCTCTCTATCCTTGTTGTTTTTCTTTCTGCCTCCTCATCACAGAACTGCTCCATCAGGCATCTGGCTTATGAAATTCTAGTCAACCTGGCTGAAGTACACATAGTGCCCTCTCTCTCTAGAGCCCTTCACCAGCAGGGCAGATCCCCTGCACTTGGAGTTCTGAGACCACACAGAATCTCTTTCTAAGCTCAGAGTCCACAGAATTCCACTGCAGAAATGAAAAAACCCTTAATACAGTCCCAAGTGAGCAGGTTTCACATGGAAAGCCTGAGATGTGAGAGATCTGTGCAATGCACCCAGCAGAAGAGATGGCTTTGCAAAGGCTTTAGCAAGTCAGAATAAAAAAGGGTAGTGTTTAATTTTAGCAGGTATGACACAGAGACCACAAAATGTGTCAGCTGAGGCAGAATTAAGCATTGTGCCACAGGGCACACCAGCAGCCAGTGTCAGGATTGACAAGAGGTGGGTTCATCTAATCCAGTGCTGATGTCTATGAGCTGTGCCCATCCTGACCAGCACCTTGGGTTGCCTTTGGAATCACTGCAGAGGAGGTCAAAATACTCTGCAAGGGTTTCAGAGGAGGTCCCCTCAACACCCATGTTTGGCTGAATTAATAACCCCTAAACCTCAGCCAGCTCTACTTTAGCCAGCACATACCAGGACACCTCAGTCAGAAGAGGTTCCCCCTCAAAAAGAACAGGAAACAAGAATCCCATCCCTAACACATCAGTATTTCTCAACACAGAGCCCTCTTCACCAGATCTTCCCTCCCTGGATCTCCTTCCCCCACTAGTACACGTGCATGTTAAATGTGTAGTCCCTTCTCCCTTTGCATTATTAATGTGAGACGGTTTATGCCTCCAAGCTATGTTTATTATATCCATGTGCTGCGGATGTGTGTGAGAGGAAGATGAATAGAGTCCTGCTAATGTCTAACAAATGCCTAGCACCATTCAGAGATCTCTTTCTGCTGCTTCGAGGCAGTGGTAAAGAAGAGCACAATTTACTCCTTCTCTCAAGACCACACTGGCTATTTTCCAGCCACAGGAATGTTTCTCACCACAAACACAAGGCATTGTTTTTGTGAGTTAAAAAGACTAGAGAAAACATGCAGCTTTCTTGTATTAAAAAAGAACAAGTCTGCCCTCTCTTCTGCCTTTGAGGCTCAAAGGATGGTACTACAGAGACTGTGTAAAAAGGAAGGCCATCTCCAGGCTAAATGAAGTGCTGTAAGAAACAAATCAAGCTGGGAGAGATCTGGCTGGAAAAGCCATTTTAAATTGGGTTTTGCAGTTTGTGCCTTAGCTTTAGGTCCCAGTTCTCAGCTATGGTAAATTAAAGGTCTTGTGCCCAGTTGTGTCAGTGGATGCTTGCAGCTCAGGAGGATTTTAGCCCAGATTGCTTTTTTTATTTCTTGTGCTTCCAAAGAAGATAAGTTAAGATTAAAAATATGGCCAAAGCCCCAGACCACAGCTCCACTGTCCATTACAAGAGTGTAAATCTACACCAGCACGGAGCTGGGACTGCTATTTACCTATGACACTTCCTCTCTGAATGGATATCCATGAACACTCACTCATATCATGACTTTAAAACACACCAGGCAGAGATAAATCCGTAAATGGATATTTATTGCCATAAAAAACAGATGGCAGAAGACAAAGCTCCCATGTTCTTATCCCAAGCTGCAAGCACGTTAAGAATGCAGCAGGAAACGTCATTCCTCCTATAAATAAATTTCTCTTGAGAAGAGAGAACCCAGGGCTGAAAAAAAAAAAAAAAAGTCAGTCTTTCTGCTCTGCAGGCCAAGTCTGAGGCAGGTTTTCCCACGCTACTCTGCAGCTTATGGTGACCTTTGCTTCTGGCAAGAGAGGAGACTGCCTCCAAGCAAACCCAGCAAAAGAGTTCGAGTGTGTCTTGTTCCTGCACAAACCAACCGGCACTTTTATTATTCTGAGTTACTGATTTTCTTTTTCTAGCAGACAAAGCATAATTCAGCATTCAGCTTGTTATTAATCATTTCTCCGGGATGGATTTGAGAGCAAAGTGGTGGGAAACCTCTCACACCAAGGGCTGTAGTGCAGGGTCTAACAGGGTGGAACAAGGCAGATCTTGTAGCATTCACGCTGGAGCGGTCCTTG